CGAGCGCCGACCGTGGGGAAAGTCAACAACGGCGGTGGTCCAATTGATACTCAGCTCCAAGGCACGCGAAGTTTCCCCCGCTGGCTCGGGGCTATAAACAGCGGCAGCTGAGCACCGCCTCCACGCTCATTTGGGCAGGGAATCGCCGATTTGTTTGCTCTCTGCACGGCGCTGTGAAATCTGGACAGCGCCTGACTTATTCAGCTGTGTCAGACGGCGCTGGAGAGATATATATACACACACAGGACGGTATATCGTTAAATAATAACCCACTTCAAGGAGGACCTGCTGGAAGACTGCGTGAAGGGGGACCCGCCCGTGTATCGGCCCCCCACGGTGGAGTACGGGGGGCTGGGCCCGGCCCGGCGAGCAGAGCGAAGCCCTCTGCCTACTGGGCCAAGCCCTCTGCCTACTGGGCCAAGCCCTCTGCCTCCTACTGGGCCAGGCCCTCTGCCTCCTACTGGGCCAAGCCCTCTGCCTCCTACTGGGCCTAGCCCTCTGCCTCCGACTGGGCCAAGCCCTCTGCCTCCTACTGGGCCAAGCCCCCTGCTCCTACTGGGCCAAGCCCTCTGCCTCCTACTGGACCAAGCCCTCTGCCTCCTACTGGGCCAAGCCCCCTGCTCCTACTGGACCAAGCCCTCTGCCTCCTACTGGACCAAGCCCTCTGCCTCCTACTGGGCCAAGCCCCCTGCTCCTACTGGGCCAAGCCCTCTGCCTTATACTGGACCAAGCCCCCTGCTCATACTAGACCAAGCCCTCTGCCTCCTACTGGGCCAAGCCCCCTGCTCCTACTGGACCAAGCCCTCTGCCTTCTACTGGACCAAGCCCCCTGCTCGTACTGGACCAAGCCCTCTGCATCCTACTGGGCCAAGCCCCCTGCTCCTACTGGACCAAGCCCTCTGCTCCTACTGGACCAAGCCCTCTGCCTCCTACTGGGCCGGCGCCAGTGAACGCGCGCTGCTTGGCAGAGTATGGCGCCTGTGACGGCAATACGAGGAGAGCTGAACGATTTGGGGAAATATCTAATTGAGATTTTTCTGACATTGCGATTTGATTTGCGATACAATTTTTATAAGTCAAGTTCAATATTTACTGTGTAATATATTTAAAACATGTGATGGAGCATTGCCACATGATACCATCATGAACTGCTCTATATATTCTAATGCAAGGATGAGAACTTAAAATATATGAATTGCTTCCAACATGTATTTATTAAAATGTTTAAATTGAAATAGAACAATCAAACATAGAAAATGTAAGTTAAATAAAGTTATAATAATACAAATAATAAAACAATTCCAACAAGAGGACTTTTCAAATCGCAAAAAATCGCAGACTTTGCGATTTGCTAATCGCATTGTTTCAAGTTGCGATTTCGATTTCAAATCGATTAATCGTTCTGCCCTCAATCCGACACTGCCGGGCGCCAAGAGGCAGCCGCCCGCTCGAGACGCCGCCGTCGTTAGCGGCGGCGTCGGCGTGTCCGGAGAGAGACACGGAGAGCGAGAGACACGGAGAGAGACACGGAGAGAGAGAGACACGGAGAGAGACACGGAGAGCGAGACACGGAGAGAGAGACACGGAGAGCGAGACACGGAGAGAGACACGGAGAGCGAGACACGGAGAGAGAGACACGGAGAGAGACACGGAGAGCAAGAGACACGGATAGAGACACGGAGAGCGAGAGACACGGAGAGCGAGAGACACACGGAGAGAGACACGGAGAGAGACACGGAGAGAGAGACACGGAGAGACACGGAGAGCGAGAGACACGGAGAGCGAGAGACACGGAGAGAGAGACACGGAGAGAGACGGAGAGAGACACGGAGAGAGAGAGACACGGAGAGAGAGAGACACGGAGAGAGAGACACGGAGAGAGAGAGACACGGAGAGAGAGGTACGGAGAGAGAGGTACGGAGAGAGACACGGAAAGCGAGAGACACGGAGAGAGAGCCACGGAGAGTGAGACGGAGAGAGAGACACGGAGAGCGAGAGGCTGGCGTCCGGACGGCACATTGAGGCGCACGTCAGCCCGGCGCCTGTCGTTCCGCTGCGCCGGACCATCACTCATTTGGGGCATCCTATTAAAAAAGGGGGGTGACACAAAAATAACCATCGTGTCTGGGTCTGTCGCTCGTCTCGGGCGAGCGGGTACTGAACGCCTCTGTCAAAAGTTCGTGTCACCGGATCGATGGCGCTCTTCTTCTTGCCGTTCGTTGCTCGTCGCGTGCGCCGGGAAAGGGCCGCTGATAGTGGGAAGCCGCGCGGGGCCCAGGGTCGGGCCAAGCCCACACTGCACCGCCCGCCGCGCGCGGTCAACTCGTGGCCACTCGACCCTCTCGACCCCCCCCCCGCTCCGTAAGCACAACACCGGGCACTGTTCCTCAATCTTTCCTTCTTCATCAAGAAGCAATTATTTTTGCATATAATCCCCGAGTCATTTATGCCGCGTTTTTAATGAGACATCATTAAGGGGCTAAAATGACTAAATTGAATTTGAATAATGTATGAGTTATGAACACTCCAGCTGTAAGTAGCTCAGAAACCCAGGTGGTGTAGGGGGAACTCTGGGTTGCCGAGGAGGAGGGGGGTGCTGTGGGAGGCGAGGCCGTGGCTGCCGCCTGCCTCCCGCTGCCCGTCGTCGATCAACAACTTCCCGGGCGCTCTCTGCGAGTAAAGCTCATCGCCGCAAGAGCAGATGAAGGCGGGTGAGTAATGGGAGGGGGTGGGGGAGAGCTGGGGAGAGAGGGAGGGAGACCGTTCTGCACACAGCCCATTTGAGGTCATCGTTGTGCCTGAATGACGCAGCCCAGTCGTGGCGTGCGCATCCCAGTACGAGTGGTTGTCACCAGGCCTGGCTGCAGCTCTTCTCGCACGGAGGGTGGTGAGGGGGGGGGGGCACCCGAAAAAGACAGATTCCCCGTGTAGCCTGTAACAGACTGTTGGGGCAAGTGCTGTTAGCGAGCACCTATGAAGGCCGGCACGGCACACGAGGGGGTGGGTGGCCAGCACCACGCCCGCCCGCCTTTATCTCCAAAGTTGCGATGTTTACACACCCGACCAAGTACTCATTTGAGGCTGAGTCGATCTAGGGGAGGCCCAGGACCGGTTCAGATAATCGTCATTGGCGGTGCCCGTGAGTGGGCATCGAACCCGGGTTGCCGGGTTCGTAGCGCAGCGCGCAAACCGCTGCACCACCACTCCTCACGTGGCACCCATAACAGTGGCAGACCACCCAGGAGAGTGAACTTGGGGGGGTCAGAGGTGGGTGCGGTGGTGCGGGCCCCACTCCAGGGTCCCACTAGGCCCCGCGAGGCCCCGCGAGGCCCCGCGAGGCCCCGCGAGGCCCCGCGAGGCCCCTGCTCGTCGTGACCGTTTCCTTTAAAGTTCGGACGCATTTTATGCGCCAAGAACGCGTTTGCAATTCACATTTGGAAGAAATGCAATATTCAGGTTTAAGATGAAAAAAGGTTAAGAAATGTTATAGACTGCAGGTTTCATCATTGCCATCATCAGCCAGGATCAATGAACTGCTGGATGAAGACCTCGCCAAACCATCACCGTATTTCACTATTCTACCATGCAGAAATCCACTTATCATCCGCATACGCGCAGATTTAATCGTTCCATCTCCACGCTGGACGATTTCTTGAGATAGTTCCCTCCTTTGACCGCCACGCGAGCCTCGACCAACCCAGCCATAATCCCCCCCCCCCCCTTCCAGCGACGCGTCTTTCCCAAGCTTATTTACTCTCCTTAAATACAGATTATGTCCTAAACCTCCTGATCCCTCTCAGTCACGCGTTCCTCTCCGTGCGTTTCAATAGAATGTCAAGCATGCGTCGCTCCGTGCATCTGCTCCAAACACGAGCCTTCAGGTTTCATTCATAAGAATGCTGTCGACAGTTCTGCAATGATTCCCTCTTGTTGCATTGCTCAATAATTTTCTAGAAAATTTAAACATTACATTTTTCTAACGGTCCATATAAACACCCTTAAGTGGGCAACCCCAGCTCTCTCCCCACGTGCCAACCTCACGATTCAAACAAGCCGAATAGCACCTGCGGGCGCGATCAGGACCCGGAGTAAAAAAAAAACCCTTTACAATTCTGGCACGCACGCCCAGCCATCCGACACAATACTCAAGTTACCGCCGCTATCAATTACGTTCATAATACATTAATGAGAACAAATGCTCAAATTACGATAACAATGGTGAAATTATGGCTTGTTAATGCTGCCTAATGGAGTTTGATGTGAATGAAACATTCCCCGCTAAATATTTCTACAGACTCACCAGAGTCATTTGCATTTACTCGACGAAAAAAAACGGATCCAAGAGGGATTTGGGGCTGCATGATTAGGAGACAAAAGAAAAACCCTCCCCGCGTCTGATCTGAATACCCATCGACGGCGCACACCTATGGGTTGCAGGATTACACCATATGGCTTCAGAACAGCTGATGCACTTTCCGAATGCGAAGCCTCTCGACTGCACAATGAGCACGGAGTTTTATTCCGGCTATCGCTCGACTGGTTCTGGAGCAGCGCCCAGGGCCGTCCAGAACGAGGTGCGGGCCCCGGGGCAACCCGCACCCCCGAATCGTGGGGCCCGGGGCAGTCGCCCCGATTCGCCGTACCCGAGGGACATTTACCGGCGTGCCGTGAAGATTGACGGAACGAAACTTGGCTTAAACTAACAAATGTTGTTCACAATAATCTCAGTTCAACTTTTTGAAAACGGGAATTGTTTATAATTAGCGGTCTACTCCTGGAGCCATGCGCCACCATGTGATTTGTGCTGATTTTACAGTGGCGTCCTGATTGTAGCTGTGATTGGATAGCATGCGTCCCAATGTCTGTGTTCAACATGGGTGTGTGTGCCTGACGTATAATCGTCGAAGACAGGTTTATCCTGTTCGCGGGGCGGATGCGTGCCTTGGAAAGGCACCAACACAATGTTTATCGGTCCGAGCAGTTTTCTGCACGCAAACAAAAACAAACACCCCTTTTATTTGAATAAACGGCACCGATTCAAAAATATAAATAGGAAACCCGGTATTTGTCAAGGCTCCATTAGGGCCCCCCACACATCCACTCAACACCTTGTTGCCGCACATGCGTTTGTTAAAGCGTTTGTGAAAGCATTTGTTTTTATTAACAAAAGAAAAAACATTTCCTTTACAATGAACACAGAACTCAGAATGATAATTTCATGGCAGGTATTCCATGACATTTTTCAGGCTGCCGGGAGATACAAAAGCCTTCGGACGAACACCCATAATGCCGAGTTTCCACGGGTAGCCCCATCATCGAGTTACTTGCCCTGCTCCTGATTCCACTTGATTTTCGCTCGTCATTTGCCAACGCTGCTACACTGCGCTATTATTGCATCGGTGAACGCCGAGACGTGCGCGCATAGCAACACCTCATGAGCCCGGCATTACTACATTAACCGTACGAGACAGCCCTTTTAGAGCAATAGGGTTAGCTACTGTCAGCTGTAAGTGGCCACGCGAGCGACTGTGATTGCAGGGCAGAGCGAAATTTCATTACGGTGCCAACAGTGCTGGACTTCCTTTCAGCGTTATCCAATTGTGTAGGGAGGGGGTTCAAAGCAGTCCCAATTGTTGCCCAGTGTCGAAAGAAAACATTTCAAGCCGAGGGATCTCCAAACTTTGCTTTTTGTTTCTTGTTCAGAAAATAAAGAGCAACGCAGTGCCTATCGCTGCCCGCAAGTCATCGGATTGGATTTGTGCGTTACGGGTCTCCATTCGTCGTAGCGGCTCGGCAGGATCGTGCAGCGTGGGCGTAAACCCCGCACAATAAAGATCGCCGGTTGAAACAAAATCTTTTTTTTCTAACCATCGTGGCCTTGCACATACATTTTCTCTTCAACATATCTGCAGTGCGAGTCGGGCTCAATGGCATCAAAACACGCGGCGGCTCCCTTAGCCGCGAGCCCCCCCCCCCCCCCTCTCGTGAATGTGAACGAGATTGCGGTTTGTAAGATGGGATCCATTTGAGGCTCCAACGCGGAACGGCCGAATAGAAGGGTCATTTGTCTCGAAGGCTCCTGTACCTCCCCGCGGTTTACAGTAGTTACAATAATTTTACAAACCTTTAAAATAATATTTATACTTAAGTCCCCCCGCCCCCCACCGCGTGTCACGATAAACGAGTGTTTGACACGGCAGGGCATAAGTCGGCTATTATAGAAAAAATGGACAGTACGCATCACCAACATCACACACGTTTTAAAGACTTTACAACTGTGCAGTTTCTACATTATACAAAAAGCCAGCAGCAGCTCCATTGTTTGCATACTGTATTACCGTACAATGATACATCGTTTCACTGATAATATATAACGCAGCACGATGAGATGGGCGAATTACAAAATTATTGCCGGGATGACGCGACGGTTCCTCTCTCTTGCGGGTGTTTAAAAGCAACGGCCACGCGCCACACACACAGGCGCCGACGTAATACGAGAAAACAACGCAAAGAAACCCCACAAACAAAACAAAAAGTAACCAACACAACCGTCCTACACTTCACAGTAACGATGAGTTTAAAACAACGATGAAGCTGTTCATTGACAAAGACGGCGAGGGGGGTGCGGGTGGTGGGACATTGACGGCCAGTCCTCGTGGCGGTCACCACACGGGAAGGAACGCACCGTCATCAAACGAACGGCACGTGGGACGCGATGACGTGGGGAACGAACACGAGGTGACGGAGCATTCGCCGAGACGGAGACGGGCATCGTCCCCACCCCACCCTCGTCTCCCCGATAGGCACGGTGCCAGGCAGCCACACCATTCCTCAATTCTCAAACTCACCTTTGACATTTACATTGTTTTTTTTTAACTCTGTGTTCATTAACTTTTCTACCGGGCGACGGAAAACGGCACAACAGAAATCAAGGGGGGCAAGAGCATAACTTAAGGAGAAGGGGACAAGGGCAGGGGGGGGGTGGGGGACGGGGCAGCGACTACGGCGCTTAACGTCACGCGCGCCACGGAGACCACCGCGCCGATGCGAACGGGATGCACGCACACACACAGAGAGACCACGTGTCCGTCGCGGTCGGGCCCGCAGGACGCCTGCCTCTCACGCATTGCCATCTTCGTCCGCGCGCTCTCAAAGTCCGCCGGCCGCGCGCCGACGTCGCGTTAATTACGAGCGCCGGTATGCTTTGCGACCGGCGCCGGCCGTCGCCCTCAGGACGAGGGCGGCTGATGGTGGTGGTGGACGTCTTGCGCGGCAAACGCGGCCGGGTGGATGAGCGGGTGCAACTGGAAGGCGTGGTGGTGGGGCGCCAGCATGGCCGGCACGAACGCCGTGGCGTGGTGGTGGTGCATGCTCATGGGGTGCAGCGCCAGCGTCGGGTGCAGCGCCGACGCGGGGATCACATGCACCAGGCCGCCCGTGCCCGTCTGGAAGGTGTGGTGGGCGGGGAACGGCGCCAGGGAGATGTGCGCCAGGTGGTGCTGCGGCAGCGCGTGCACCTGCGCCATCTGCATCTGGCCCGGGTGGTGGTGGGCGTGGTGCGCGTGGTGGGCGTGGTGCGCGTGGTGCGCGGCGAGCGGGTGCAGGCCGGCCGCCACGGCCGCCGCGTGGTGCTGCAGGAGGGTGTGGTGCACCGTCGAGATGGACACGGCCGGGTGCTGCTGCTGCTGGGGCTGCACCGCCACGTGCTGGATGATGGGCGTGGGCGACGGCACCTGCGGCGACATGACGGGCACGGGCGGCATGCTCTTGGCCTTGCTGGCCATCAGCTGTTGCTGAATGTGCTGCTGGGCCTGCTGCTGCAGCTGCCAGTACTTCTCCATCTCCTCCGGCGCGAAGGAGATGGGCTGGGCCGAGAGCGGCGGAGAAATGGCTCGGCGGCGGTCGTGGGAGCGCTCGCTCTCGCACGACTCTGACGAGGCCAGGGACTCCGTGGGGCTCTTGGGTTCCTCAAATATGATGGGGCTCGACTGTGGCCAGGGGTGGTACTGGGAGTAGGGCTGTGGCTGGGGCTCGTGTTGGTGTTGGGGCTGTTGGGGCTGGTGTGGCTGGTGCTGAGGCTGCGGTAGGGGCCGTGGCGACACCTGGGGCTGAGGTGGAAGCTGGAGATGCAGTTGCGGTGGGGGTTGACTGTCGGCGAGCGACGTCGGTTCCACGGGTTCCAGATCCATGTTGGTGCAGGTGTCTTGCACAGTGGCGTTATCGTTCGGAGGCTCCTCTTGCTTCGAAGCTGCGCAAGTGTCGTTACCGGGCGTCAATTCGGTCACCGTGGGCGACACGTCGGAGAACGGCGGTTGTGCTTCGACCTCGAGTGCGCTTAGAGAGAAAGGAAGGAAAGATTCCAACGTGGGTTTTTCAGGATCGGAAAATATTGTGCAGATGTCCATGTCGCCGTCTTTTTTGAAGCACGGTCGCTTGCAAATGGGCAGTTTTCCGATCATGGGCAGCACGGCGACGTTCCCCATGGTGGGAGGAAGCTTGGGCCCAAAGAAACCCTGCGGAGGGTCCTTGAGCCTGATCCCGACCTTGGTGGCGGTGGCAAAGGCCCCCTCGCCGTCCAGGGAGTTCAGCTCCTGCCTCTTGGAGCGAATGCGCTCCAGCAGCCGCTTGGCCGTCGCCAGGTTGCGCTCTTCCTGCGTGGTCTCGCGACGCTGCTCCGCCGTGTCCACGCTCTCTTTCTGGGCTTGCGTGGAGCGCTGCGGCGGAGGGGCCTGCGGCGGCTCGGGCTTCTTGTCGTCGTTGCGCCGGCTGCACTCCCGTCGCGAGGCGCCCGGGCGGTTGGCCGAGGCCGCCGCCGCCGCCGACGCCGTCGCCGCGCGGGAGCTGCCCGAGCGGCTCCGGAAGGATCGCTCGCGGGACGCGGAGCTGCTGTCGTCGTCGCCGCCCCTCCGCCTGGCGCCGCGCTCGAACGAGCGGTCCCGGCACTTGCCCCCCCCGCGTCGCCCGCGCCCGCTGCCCTCTCCCGAGCGCGAGCGCCTGGCGCTGCTGCGCCTGCTGCGACTGCGGCTGCGGCTCCGGCTGCTGCTGTCGTCGCGGCCGCGCCGGCGGCGGTCGCGGCTGCCGCTTCGTCTCCGGCTGTAGCTCCTCCCGGACCTGCTGCGGCTTCTCCCGCGGTAACTCGCGTCGGACGAAGACGAATACCTGCGAACGCCAATCGCCCAAGAGCCGATAGTAACGGTTACCGATATTCAGGGATGGATTTCATCGTTTGCCCGCGAATAAGAACGCGCGGAAAAATGGACGAATGCTGCATTCCAGATGTGAAAATGGAGGAAAAAATGATTTATTTGCCATGCAGAAAAAAACACTCCGTCGACATCTGCAGGTCGTGCCGCGTGCGTGACGTGCGTAGGGGGAAAGAAACGTGGGAGGGTGAGAGGCAATGGGCACGGCGCTCACTTTGCTTTCGGCACAATTTCACTCTTTTACCTGCGCCGCTTTGCCCTGCGCTGGGAGCCACTGTAGTCATCGTGCGCATCGTAGCTGCGCTTGGAGGAGTGGCGGCGGCGGCGGCGGCGGCGCCGGTGGCGCGAGCCCTCGCGCTCCGACGACCGCTTGCCGTCGTAGCTGCGGCCGCGGCTGCTCGACGAGTCCGAGCCGTGGCTCGAGCGGCGCCGTCTGGAGGCCGACCTCCGGCCGCCGCCGCCGCGCGAGCGATCGCTGTCCGAGTCTCCGCCGCGCGGGGCGCTGCGGCGGGACGACGGCGACCTCTTCTCGGCGCGCCCCTCCCTGGCGTCGCTCTCGGGCGCTTTGCTGCCGTGCCGCGATTTCTTCTTAGGCTTCGAGCGCGATGACTTCTTCGTGCCGGGCCCGTCGGGCGTTTTCGCTTCGAGGCTGTCGCCGCTCTTCTCCTTGCTCGGGGTTTTGGCACTTGAACACTGGGGCGTGGGATCTGCCTTCTTACCTTTTTCGTCAGCGTTCGTTTGGGCTTGTCCCGCTTCTTTGTGTTTGTGCCTCTTTTGTGTCGCCTCCTTTTCATCCGCCTGCGCACCGCTGTCCGCTCTGGCACTTTCTTCTTTTGCCGCCGCTTTCTCGGGCTTATCTTCTGTCGTTTTCTTCTTCTTGTGTTTGCTTTTAAGCGATCGCTGTTGCAGCCCGGGTGCCGTCCCCGACGTCCCCGCCCCCACCCCCGCGCCCTGCTGCTCTTTATCTGACGGGCCGGGTTTGCCAGGTTTGCTCCCCCCCTTCTGCTTGCTCGATTTGCGTTTCGAATGTTTGCCAGACTTCTTGTGCTTCTTGTGTTTTTTGGCCGCTTTGGAGGCCGCGGGCGGTGCTAGGCCCCGGACCTCTGGGGTGGCGGTGCCGCCTTTGGCCGCCGAGGGCTCCCCGGCCGTGTCCAGCGAGGGGAGCGCCGTCGCGGAGGAGCCGCTTTCTCGGACCGCCTCGTCAGCGGCGCCCTCCGACGCCGCCCCCTCCGCAGATTTGCATTCGCGGTCAGCCTCCGCCTCGGCCTTCGTCGGGTTGGGCTGCTCGCCGGGCTGCTCGCAACCTTCAGACGGAACCGCAGGACCGACTTTTCCCTTAAGCTGCCTGAGCCGCGGCTTAAACTCGAAATATAAAGGGTTACAGCTGTACGAGACGGAAGGCTCCGTCTTTGTGTGCAGGAGTAGCTCTGAAGGCCACTGGAGGGTGGTCGTTTCATCTCGGCTCAGCACTGAAAAAAAAGGCTCCGCCGCCTTGCGCGGCTTCTCCACTTTCACGGCATCTGCCTCCGGTGATTCGGCGGCAGCGGAGGTGGTGGCAGCGGTGGCGGTGGAGGAGGAGCAGTGCGCTTCATCCTTGACGTCCGTCTCGGTCTTGACGTCGTCCTCGGCGGTGGCGGTGGTGAAGGCGTCCGTGCTTGCGGTTTCTTCATCAGGCCGCTCCAACGGAGGCTGGCTGGCATCTTTACCTTCCGCCGGCGATTCTGAAGCCTGCGGCGCGTCACCGGGCCCCTGCTGTTTCTCTTCCGCCTCGCCGGGGTCGTCACCGGCTTGGCCGGCCGCGGCTTTATTGTTGTCGCCCTCCTCCTCGGCCTTTTTCTTTTCCTCCGGGTCGAGGTCGTGATCCAACACCTTCTCGGCCGACTTGCAGAATATCATGAAGGGGAACTTGGGCTTCACCCTGCAGTGAGCCGGGGGGGTGTAGTAGTAGTACTCCATCACCGTCGCCATCTCCGGCTCTTTGGGTCGGCGCCGCTGACGGCCGGCCTCGGCCGCCGCCGCCGCCGCCGCGGCCGCCTTCTCCTTCTCCTCCTCCTCCTCGGCCTTGGCCTTGGCCTCGGCCTCGGCCTCGCTCGGCGTGGGCACCACGCCTTCCGGCAGTGAGGTCAGCTTCCCCTTGTAGCTCAGCGTCACCTCCTTGGACTCCACCACCTCCTCGTTGCTCTCGCTGAACACGGAGGCCGAGGACTCGAGCTTGGAGGGAGCCTTCTTCTTGGAGAAGGAGAAGGAGACGCCCAGCTTCTGCGTGGCCGTGGCGGGGCTGTCGCCGTCGCCCTTGGGCGCGAAGGGCTGGATGGCGGTGGCGCCCTGGCTGTTGGTGCTGCTGTGCGGGGACTCGCTGCCCTTCTCCCAAGGCGACGAGTCCGTCGCGCACTCGGCGTACAGGCCCATTTTTTCGGCCAGCTCGTCGGCGCCAAAGAACATGTCCTCCGACTCGCCCTCCGACAGCGTCTTGAACGTGCTGCCCGGAGATCTGCGCAGGCCGACACGGGGCGATGGGTTAACATTGGAACGGCGCCACGTAGGATTTTTTTTGTTTGCGGTCATGCCCGTGAGGCTCTCCGATTTGTATTCGGGTCGCGCCGCGCGTCGTTCGGCGCGATGTTCGACGCTTCGCCCAGAGGAATCGGTTCCCCAAGAAGTTGTCGGCAGGTGGAGCGAAACGTCGGACAACATGCCGAACGACGCGCCGTACGACTCGGAATCACGTTGGATCGGTAAACATTGCAGTGGAAGCAAAAAAACCCATTAATCTTGTTCCATTTTCATTATTTTTCCCTTGTGTTAAAGCAGCACTACCGATTGCAGTAAAAGAAAAACAATTATCAGGCTCTAAAACAAAATGCTGAAATTTCAATACGGCAAATTAGTGAGAAAATAAAACTCTCATGCGCTACATTTAAAGATTTATACCGGGATACATCACACATTCGAACTTCAAAGGGCATGCATCCTACATCCTAATTGATCAATTTATATTTAATTGATTTACATGCATACAAAGCAGTTAAAAGGAGCCACTGCATCAAGACGTTAATAAAATTTAACAGCAACTGGGATTGTAGTTACGCACTACGCCGGGAGCTTACCATGTTTGCAAAGTTTTCTTCGAAGCGAACGGGGCAAATTTAATTAAAAAGTATTTCCGTCTCAGGAAAGGGGTGTAGCAAATTAGTGGTGACACATGAGAGATGGGTACTTCAATTAATGTGAACACTTGGAATTTACGGCGACGCTGGCAGAGCAAACGGTAATGGTCCCCCCCGCCACAAGAACACGCTTGCTAACGTAGTTACAGCGGTACTCGGAATGCGAAGCGTTGTAAATCAACGCGCCGCCAATCTCTCAGCTTCCCGCTCTTCTGCGGCACGGCTAACCCGGAGGGGGGGGGCACCATGCGGGGCGTCGTTAAACCGGATAACCGCGTTATACCACGCGACCCCATCCCTCTGACCCTGCATCGCAAATCTAATTTCTGACGGGCGTAACAAACGTATTGATCTTGAAGCTACTTTGCGTGATGAATGTAGCGCTCGCTTCGCGTGGGAAACAACACGGCTCGGGCGACGTACCACAACGCGCGCGTGCACGTAGCCCCGCTAATGAAGTGGGACCCCCTTCGCTCCCTTGTCGCTTGTCAAGTCCAACATTTGCACTTGTGTCATATCGTGGAACGTTCTGTAAACAGATTGCTTCAATGTGTTTGCCAGATCCTTTGCCTTTAACAAAAGAACAAAAGGGGCCCTGTGATGTGACGAGCGCGCGAAGCTCCTCGTGGGAAAGGGGGCAGCAGGCGTCTCGTAAATTGCCGGTGCCAGCAAGGCCCTGCGACGGCGGCCGGCTCGGCGCCCCGATCGAGGCGACTTGTATGTGTACGTATGGGTGTGTGTAGTGAACGTCTTTCGCACCCTACGTAGCCAACCATGTTAGTCGGAGGTGCGGGGGGAAGGACAACAAACTAAACACGAAAAGCAATTCTTAAGTAATTATTTTGTCAAGCTAGATGATTTAAAAATGCATAGCTCAACAGTGGCTTCCTAATATCGGAAGAGGGTTCCAGACGGCCGCAGAAGCGCATCTGAACGAGCACGATGCGGTGACCGTCTTTGTTCGACGGTCAGCCAAAAGCCAGCACTGCAAGATGATGCTTTATGTTTCTTGGCGAGATCAGCAAGGACTTGGTTTCATGCGCTGCCACGAACCCAAGCCACTTCTGCGCTCGGATTTCTGCGTCTCGCTGGATAAACCGTTGGGGGGCTGCGGAGAGATCCTACAATGGCGTCGACACGCGCGCTTCATGGCCGCAAAAATCACCTCCATCCTGAAAGCTACCAAAATGATTTCGGGACGAGGCATGGAAACGCGTCAAACATTAAATGTTTTTGCTCGTTGGATATTTGCACGTGGACACCTTATTTTTCCGAGGTGGGGAGGAGTCGCGCGTTTACTCCGAAGGTTCAATTTGTCTTCGACACTGGCCGAGTCGCTTCCCGTGCTCACGGCGCGCTCGGCCGGTCTGACGGAGGGCCCCGTAGGTCGGGCGGCGGAGGGGGCGGCTCTTTACGAGAAGCAATTATCAGCGCAGTCGTTCAATTGCACTACGAGGTGCACTCTACAGAGTACACAAGCTTGGCCGGCTCTGACACGGAGATGCCCCCCAAGTGAACGATAGGGAATGGGAGCGGCAAGTGCAGGGGCTGGAGATTTCCCATTCTCTTCACGTCAGCCGATGGGCCTGGATCCCTGATTAAGGGTGCCCAAGTTCCTTGAATAATGTGCCCACAACAATGAATAAAGGCATCCAAGGACACCTTGCGATGGCAGCTCAGAACTTATTTCCCACACTGGGAAATAAGGCTCGCATTTCTTTGGGAAGGGGTTTGTTAGCGCTGGCGGCGGCGTGGTAGTGGTGGTGGTGGCGGTGGTGCCAGGCGGGAGCTGGCGCTGAGCCTCACCGTTCCGTCTGCTTGCGTAGGTCAGCCAGCTCGTGCAGCCTGCGCAGGGCCTTCTCCTGCTTGCGGTCATCTTTGTGCGACCTCGAGGAGACGTTGCGTGCAAATTCCCGCTGCTTCAACTCCTTCAGCCTCTGCAAAAAAGCAAAAAATAAAAAATAAAGCAAATGGGTTCCGCGAGGCGAGAGCATTTGCAGCGGGAAATTATTTGGCATCCCGTAATCCTGATACGTAACCCAACTTTTGCCCTTCTCGTCTCTCCTCTGACAAATGCAACGTACGCTGGGGCTCTGTACGCGGGCGGTGTGAGTGCATGCCCCGGAAAAAGTTGTTGTCGAGCAGTTACACTTTTCATTACGCATTCTTGTACAGTACAACAATCTTAACAGGGATCATCTATTATCAAAGTTACTTTATTTTGCTGCCAAGTGCCCTGTCAGGAAAAATACCGGTGCTCGCCAGCTCAGCCGGAGCCACGTCCATCACAAGCTATTCCGATTATGTCTCACCGCTTCACAAATCACATTGCCGTTTTTCCCCCCCACTTTCAACGCACTCTTCAAAATAAGGACCTGCATTCGTTTTTCTTCGTAACTTTTGTTCCCAATGCAACTATGTACTTGTTCTTTAGAAAGTCGACCCAAAAGCACAATAAAACACGCCTTGGAATAACTCAAATCCCCTTTTGCAGTTTTATTCAGCCTCGAATGCATAATGCTTCAAACAAAATACATTACTGCCCCCCCTCCCATCCCCTCCCAGTAAATCAACTTGCCACTTACACCGACCACGGGAAATTCTGAATTCAAACAATCACGAGACGAACTTAAAAATCCCGGCGCCCATTAACGTGACAGTGATATATTTGGTTCGGGTGCCCAGTTAATGCATTGGCCGGGTGCCGATTATTCCGGCGAGGCAGCGAGTGAGCCGAGTCGGCTGAGATTGGCTTGCCGCGGCGGCCCGGAGAGCCGCGGCAAGCCGTGATGGAAAACGCCTTCGCCGCGTGCACTTGTAAGTCATTTATTCAGAGGCCGACGTCCCCCGTGGGTGCACTAAGCAGATCTCTGCCACAACTACATTATACATGAGCCGAGAAGTGGGTGGGAGAGAGCGTGGGAGGACGGGGTCACGGCGACGAAAGGCGGGGAGGGGGGGGGGGCGGTTGTCACTCTACGGCTGCGGCACGACACACGCGGGCGCAGGCGGGCGCAGGCGGGCGCAGGCGGGCGCAGGCGGGCGCAGGCGGGCGCAGGCGGGCATTCGCGCGCGCTCACCCGCAGCGATCGCAAACAGCAGCGAGCTGGCCCCTCGACGCTCGCGAAACACCGACGGGAGCGGTTCACGATTGCGTTCTAAAAAGGGAATTAGCTTGTCATGCAATTTCCAGCCGACGGCCGAGTGCCCGGGATCGCGAAATAGTGCTTGGATGGGCCACGACCATGCACAGCGCGTGTCTGTAGGCCGTGGGGCTAACGTGGTGGGCGATGCAGCAACATCTCGTCTTGTACTGTGCTTCTACGCTCCCACAGCTATGCCCTCACACTGACCAGCATGGTGAAGCGTTATCAAGTAACACCCCATGGGGCTGCACGGCATGGGGAGAACCTCATCCAGTAGTGGATTGACTAAAAGGGCTCGGTGTGCACGTGCAAATAAACTGGAATCGCCGGTTACTTGAGCAATTTGCAATCGAGCCGACACACAGAATGTTAGCAAGTTCACGCGACGATAGACGGCTGAACAATGTGAACGTGCGCAGAACTCAAACCCGGCGGCTACGATTCCGAAATGACGCGGCACAGAAAGGCCGAATGTGTATGCCGACATCTGCTGCAAAAGCAATGTCAAGTGATGACTGTGATCATACGCCCAGCATAAAAAGCGCTCGCTGCCCTGCTCAATGCTTAGCCGGCACACGCGCGCACACTCTGGTACAGCAGCGCAACAGCCATCGGGTGAGACGACATGTGGCGGCCCAAGGCACACCTGCTGCAGGTACTTATGAATGTTTGATGACGTTTAACACAGCAGTAGCTGGCCCCCTAGGGCTGTGCAGACTAATGCATCTTCCGCGCACTCTTATTCTGAATGCAAACACCCATCCAGGTGCCGAGAGACAACGCGAGCAACGCTGTATTTCGGCGGCGAGACACTTGAACCGGCTGGCTAAGGGCGATGCGTGCATTGCCGGTGCCCTGGGAGTTATTTGGGAAGATTGAGAAGGTGCACGCTATAATAATTATGCACTCTACACAATTCCAAATTTAAACACGGCTTTGCCCAAGTAAATAAAACTGTAGAATCGTCAAAGTTGTCCAAGGAATTTTGTTTAACGTTGCATTTAGACAAACGGATGCAATTTAGTTCTGCATTCACCGTGGGTCCTCATAGCAAAAAACGTGAAAGCCAAATTGCCTATTTTGCTTAAATAGCAGCGACGCGTAGCTGTGCTAGCATGCGTGCGTTTGAAAATGCTGTGAATTAAATTCCTTTTAAAACTGAGCACGTCTTAAATAAGTAACAACGTGATTAATTAAATAAATGGCGTGAAGTGTGCAGAGACAATTAGGGTTGCATAATTAAGCAACGCCGCGTAGCGCTAATGTCGCGTACGCGGCGTTGGCGTGCGGCGCACCCTGGCACTCGAGTAGCCTACGAACAAAAATAAAACGTCTCTCTGTCTCAATAGCCAGATGCCACTCTGCACAGGCATCACAACCGATGTGCTCCTGTGTTCATGCAAGGCCATGGCAAAGGAAAACAAACCCAGTGCAGCTGGCACACAGCACAGACGCGGTCTGCACGATTCATCATTACTTTCGTACTGAACAGCCATCAGCCCTTTTCAAAAACATGTATTTACTTTAACGTGCTTTGCCAGGGCACCCTGCTGTGATTTAGCACCGTTTGTGGCGTCGTTCTGATAACTGTATTAGAGCTGAGTGATGCTGCGGTTAGGACGGCATATTCAGGTCGTTACAGCGTTTAAAAAACCCACACACGCAAGCCACGCACACCATAGTAAATTACATTGCCACCCTCTGGTGCAGCCTATCTTAAGACCAATTTCCATACATATTTTCCTCTCCAGTAGGAACCAAACCAGCCATGGCATTTTGCTATGAGTTCCCTTAAGGCCAGTGCAGTGCAAAGACTGCTTGTGACATCAAGGCTGCGTTATTATTATTAATATCATCATACCGCTTGTTTACCCCAGGAAAGCCTCACCTGAGTCTCAAGACTCTTTTTTTGAGGAGGGTCCTACCAAGTTTTCACAGGAGAGGGGCCATGCTGCTCTCTGCCATCCCAACTGCATAAGTAAAAGTAGGCTGTTTTTTCAAACCTTTATAAACAGTTTGCCATTAGAAGCTATCCCCGTTTTCCTGGTGACGACAGCTTGTGTTGCAATGGAAACGTCGTAGTTTTTGTTATTTTCTTTGAACCTATCTACGTGACTATACCGAAAGATCCGAAGAATATGAATTCCTGCAGCCACAAAAGCTTTAAGTCAAGATTTGCCAGTTACAGTGTATGGGTTTTCTTTTTTTTTAAGCTACGGGAGGAAACTGGAGAACCTGTAAGGGAAGAAACCCATGCAAAGCATACAAAACTTCACGCAGAAAGGCACCCGAGTTGGAAATAGAACCCAGGCCCTTCTTGCTGCGAGGGACACGTGTTACTGCTGCGCCACCCTGCCACCAACCGAAGGCGGCAGCGTGGCCTTCTCCAGGATGTCGTCGGCCATCGGACGGTTTCTGCAGGTGGGCCCACATCTGGGCGAGCAGTTGTGCAAAAATGAAATGAAACAGCCGATACAACCATTCACACCCTCAACTCGTCGATGTAGCGTAAGAGCGAATCGATGCATTGTCACGCAGCTGTTGGTCGTCCTTTAGGCAGCGGCTGCAGCAGCATCGCGTAGTTGGCACGGGCCCTGGAGCGAGGAACTAAATGGGCCCACCCCGTCTGTGATCAATTCCCTCTCACTTTATAACCCGGCGTCTGGGCCGCTCGTGCTCATGGGCTGCCGGTGCTGTTACACCACCTGCACACTCGACAGCTGGACCGATCGCGGGAAAACGCTCGTTCGTTTGTAACTCGCGTCCGCCGTAGGCCAAGGGTGCGTACGACGCCACGCGGGCGCCGGGCATCGCTGCTGCGCCAGGACTCACCTGCTTGTGCGCGTGGTCGTAGGAGTTGATGTGGTTGTCGAACTCCTTGTGCTTGTAGTACTGCTTCTCGCACAGCTCGCAGTAAAAGTTGGCCTTCAGATCCTCGAGCGCCTTTGCAATCGCCTTCTCCTTCTCGGCGTAATCCTGCGAGCACAGCGAGGGAAGCGGCCCGTCGTGAGCCGGCACCGCCAACGCAACGATTTTGTCGCCAGAGTTCAGCACTCGTACAGCGATCGTACAGCGCTTTTGTCAATACACTGGTCAGCGAGGGCTTCACCCCCCCACCCCCGTGCGGGTCATGCGGGGTTGTTTGACCATACTTCATCATGCTGGTCAGTCTGGGTTGGTGAACATAGTCAGCATAGATGTGTGAGCACAGAAGTACAGGACAACAACGGATTGTAATGCACCTCCGATTAGCACGGTCGGCTAGGTACGGTGCAAAAGAAGTTTAACATATGGAGTCCCACGGCAGCCTATAATGTCTGGTGGTCACCCATCCACGCATTATCCAGGCTCAATGCTGAGATGTGACAAGACTGGGTGGGTGTATTCCAGACGACTTTGTCACAGGCCATGTGATATATGAAAATATAAACTGGATTGTAACAGGGATGAATGTGTGATATTGGATCGAGCAATTATGCTTGCGTTAGTGTTTAAAGAATTAAAACTTCCAACAGAATGGGAACAAGTAGAACATTTAATCACACTGATTAATAAATGTCTGTTCTTGTCATATTCATCAGCAGACAACAACGCTAATGCTTTACAAGCTTTCGGGAAAACATTGCAAGCCCGGGAGTTATTGATTACATGTTAATTATTTTAAATCACGATGTATCATTTTGTCTGATAGACAACGTTTTATGAACAACAAGCAGCCAGCGGAACGACATAAAAATGTCCATAATTTATTCCAACAGCGGGCGAGCTATTAATCATTGGGCTTTTTTTTCTAAACTAAAAATAATTGCAGTAATGATTTTATTTCAACGCTGATTTTTCGCAGTACACAACCAACAAATGCTACACTAAATAAGATGAATTGCCCGTTGCGGAATGTGCAGAAATCACAGAATAGGACCGGGACAAAAAGCCCATGCTGTTTTCCTGCACCGGAGTGAAGGCTGTCCTTGAGACAAACATCTCTGTCAAATAGATATCTGCTCTTCTGACAGGCCCCCAGATAGAGGGTCAAAGGCAGTTTAAGGGCACGCCTCTGACTCGCAGGGAATAAATTTCCAGGCGCCACAGTACAGAAGTGCCAACAGATGCACTGGACCCAGCTTTGCACAAACACCGACCATGGCAACGCAACGCTCTAAGAGCAATTGCATTTGATTGCAGTATTAAAAACAAAAAAGGAAGGTTTTTTTTCATTTCAGGTTAGAGATACGTTGCTCTATTGCTCAAAACACATCGAGGGCTGCAGGATGACCCACCGTGGCCTCACATGAGAGCACCACTCGAACGCGTCGCCAGAAAGCCGATCGTGTCACGAGCTTTGCCACGACAGACGTTCAGTGCGGTAACGCTAACTCGCACGCCATTATCCCCTGATGCCACGTGGCTGGCAGGGCAGACGCGGGGTTAATGTGCATTCGCAATTGAAGCACAAAATCTGCTGCTGTTTGCAAGACGACTTTCTTTTTGGAACGCCTCTGGCTTTGAAATAATACGCCTGATTGCCGTAAATAATAAATACGGCACTTCAAACGGGGACACAACATGAATTGGTGGTTTACGTGACGCTACCTACATTGGCATCGGTATGAATAAATTATAAACCGCCGTTACATAACTACGCTAAGCCTGGCAAATTAATTATGGAAGATTAAACATTTTAAACATTCATCAACCTAACGCCAAATTTAAAAGCGCTCTTTCCTGTGCACCACCGCTGCTACGTTTGCAACAGACGGAACGAAGAGGCCCTCTCGAAGCCTGTGGGCAGCTGTCAGTCTCGGCAGATGTGCAAAATCACATTAGGAGGCCCGCTAGCCATAAAAATGCAGCCTCACACCAAGGCGCTACAGTGTTTACGGAGCACCCGCCTAGAACCCCGAGTGAGGACCATTATCTGCAGTGAGAGTGAGTGGTTTATTATATACCCTTGGAATGCAAGATTATAGTGAAAAAAAGAACTCCCTTCCATAAAAATACCTCTTAAGAGGATTTTGAATATGGGGCAAAGGCTCTGCGTTTTTCTTGCCCTGCTCAAGCCACTGTGCTGGTCGATAGGCTTACTTGCATTAACATCCATTTCTAACGGTCCGGCTTGGAAACGCGGCCGACGGAAATTATGTCCTCCAAACATTACTGATGATTTTAAAGTGACGGATTTGCACTTAAATGCGTTCTCATTATATAAGCTTTACTTAATAACAGTAATTTGCCGCAGCACTTGCAAGAACGCTCTATCGGCCTCGAGCTTCTTTTAAGAAAACCCTACACAATTAAAACTCATTAGGGATTCCCTGTACAGCCATTAATAATTGCACAGCCAACAAAGCCAAGGAACAATGCAAACCCCACCAGGACTCCAACACAATATATTTTCTCAGCCTTTCCTCGCACTTTGGGAAAGGCACATTGAACCGATCCCTGGAGCAACACTTCTTTAAATGTTAATGAGAGCCGTCGCAAAAAAACAGTTTTTTCAAGGCAGAAATGCTTTCATCCATCCCACAGCCCTGCGGTGCCCTTGTCAGGTCTGCGTCGCGCGACTGCCCCAATCCAATGCCCACGCGGCTTCAAGCCTCGCCACAATCTCAACCTCCCCACCACCCCCTTCTCAAATTTATTTCAAGATTAATCTGGAGATTACAATTAAACGCTGACAATTCCGATCGCGGCGATGCCCCCCTCGACCCCTAACGTGCCGGGGTTTAAAAAGAGCTTCGCGAAAGGGAAACAACTGCACGCAAACAGAACACACAACTCGCCCGGCGGTTTAATCCTAACGGCCGCACGTTTCCTGACATTAAGTTTTTTGAACGCACTTATTACATATACTGTTTATCCGACGAAAAGCCAACGCAACTTACAATCTGCCAGTGACAGATGACGGCTCTGTTTGAAAGCCCCACAACAGATCAGCGTTTTGCTCATTTGTCAAGTGGAGTTGCTTGGCACGAACGGCGACACAGTCGTGCTAATTAATTGCCCGGGTGACTGCAAGCTCCTTGCGGCACTTAAGGCACACAAATTACTATAGATTCCTGAGGCTCGCAGGGCCTTGGAGGCTCAGACAATAAAGACGCAACAACATTAATTCTGTTAGTCCGTCTCTGTAGACACATCCTTGGGCCATTTGTGCCCACCTCTACACAATTCTTTCAGCATTCTTCACTATCCATGGCTCCCTAGTTAGCAGGAGTGACCGTCTTGCCAGCTCCACACGGCACCCAGACATTCTACCACGGTTCTGTAATGAAAATCTTTCCAGGCATAAAAGTTACAGGGGACGGCCGACATTAATACAACTGGCAGGCTCTAAAGCGATGATTAAAGACGACATAAAAAACGCGTACGTCGGAGGTGTTTAAATACGCGAGCTGTGCGCTCTGGCAACCCCAGACGCTCTCGACGGTCCGCCATCACGATCGGCCCCCGACGGAGAGAGTTCGGCACGTCTCCAAACTAAGCGCCCAGCTCCAATGGTAGCAAACTCGTGCGATTAAAGCTTGTAATACGTTACTTTGTCGAAACGCTTTGAGCAACATCTAACTTCAATGCACGTGAGTGTGCACGCACAAGGAAATATCGTACGCGGCGTAAGTTATACGAACGGGGACCGTGTTCGCTAGCCTGTGTTTATTGAGCCCATAGATTACATTCAAATGCTAATTTAATGCAGACTAAACCCTTTCACCGCCTGCTCTACGCGTTCAAACTTCACAGCAATTAAAGGGATGGGGCAATGGGTTTCCGTGGCCCGCGGGTAATCCGCGGTGGGATCCGGCAAGATTCCGTGCGCCACACAGCCACCCGGGACGGCACTTCAAAGAGAACACTAACACCGGCCGATGCCGTGCTGCACCGTGGCACAGGGGATGCGGCCTTCACCGCCGCTAAGTATCCTACCTGCCGGCGGCAAATACTGCCTCAGCATTATTGTTCGCCGCCTCTGCTAGGAACAAGAGAAACGCCGCTCCATAGGTTTATCACGGCCGCGCAGCACGGCTCTCCGGAGCGGCGCGATCAGGGGTCGCGCCGCGTGCCGCTCCGCGTGACGTCTCGACGTTCCGGTTCCGAAAGAAGCTTCCAGCACGTGAGAGAGGGAAACGTTGGGGACACCGTGGCAAACGGCACGCAGTACGAGCCGAAAACACGTCGGACAGCGAGAAGAGAAGTTACAATGGAGCAGTCTGAAACTGTTAGCCCGGTGCTCAAGACCGGTTAACGTCTTCACCGTGGTATCGTAGGGCATCAAACTCTGTGGCCAGACTGCAAGGGAAAACTGCCGAAGCCGGCACAGGAGTTAAACGATGGTTCCTCCGCCGTCTTGGCCACCACCATCACGGCTGTCACGGCCACGTGTGTATGCGATGCGTTCTATTGATCTTGTATTCTTTGTGCTGGTTGCACCAAGATGTTAATGCACGACCTTGCCTTTGGGAACACACAGTTTGTTTGTTGGGTTATGTGGTTTCTTTTGCTGGAGTAACCAGGTTCCTATGGTGTAACCAAATCCCCCATTGAAAATTAGCATTTACCTGTACCAAAATAAACCTACACTTCAACTGCACACGCTTTAAAAAAAGATTCAGCCGAGCCTTTGGGAGGACAGCAAAATGAACATTCACAAATCAATGCGGTCCTCCGATTTTCCGGAATGTATTATGTATGACGTTCCCAAAAACTCTCAACAACAACCATCAACAGCTTCGACACTCATCTGACGGCCAACTGTGATTTGCAGATAAAACTTGTTTCTTTAAATATAAAAGTTCACGCCTGGGACTGCTTCATAAAAAAACAGATGCAAGCAGATTATGGCTTTGCGTTTTTCAATAAAACGTAACTAACCGCGATTGCAAAAAGCAAAAATGTACATATTAAAAAAAACTAATTTTGTCTTGCGTGTATGGTGTCTTGGGCATGGTCCCACTGGTTTTACATGACGTACATTTTATTAG